AAATCCTTGGGCTGGAGAGATGGCTCAGTGGTCTAAAGCACCTACTTGGAACAAGCTTGGCAAAGCACAGGGACCACAGTTTGATCCCCCAGCACCACATGCCAGCCAGCTGCGCCCCCTGGTGGGCTGAGCTGGCCACACACACACACACACACATACCCACACTAAATAAATAAATGTTAAAAAAAAAATATTATTAACCACTAAGAAGAATATATGCAGTGTATTATTTGTTGAAAAATTAAAAAAATAAATAAATAAAAAAAAAAAAAAAAAAGAAACAATATTATTAACCACTAAGAAGAATATATGCAGTGTATTATTTGTTGAAAAATTAAAAAAATAAATAAATAAATAAATAAAAAGAAAATAAAAACTCATAAGTCATTGCTTAGGATCATTAGCGCATTTACTCAATTCTTTGAAAATCAATGAAGGCAGCAAAATTAAGCACACATCCCTTCTTTCTTATACAGCCTATAGCTCCACAAAAAATGGATGGTTAATGCGAAAGAAGTCTTTTTTATAGATGAATTCCAGTTAATAAATGCAGCAGGAATACTGGACTTAGAAAACTGATGTTCTGCCAACATTTGTAAGGACATGGATCTTTTTTTTTTTAAAACATTTATTTATTTATTTATTTTGGGGGGGGCAGCTCAGCCCACCAGGGGGCGGGGCTGGCTGGCATGTGGTGCTGGGGGATCAAACCACGGTCCCTGTGCTTTCCCAAGCTTGTTCCAAGTAGGTGCTTTAGACCACTGAGCCATCTCGCCAGCCCTAGGACATGGATCTTGATGGCAATCACCACTTGAAAGGATGATGGGAAACATAATGAAGACTAACTCCCATGTGGCAGCTGAATATGACATGCCTCATGGTACTTTAGAATAGGAAGTGCTTGCCCACATTCGTGAAATATTCTTGTCCCCCAAATTGAACATGACTGTGAGCCTATCATGAGTCTGTCAGCTTATGGGAAGTGCATGTGTTGGTAGAACAAGTTAAAGATAACTTGAGGAGGCCATCAAATCCAAAATGTGGGACATCTTATAGGGTAAAGGACTTGATTAATAATAACACCAAAAAGAAAAACATCCGAGAGGGGAACTGTTACATAGAAAAGGAGAGATTTAAGTGACATGAAGACCAAAGCAAATCAGAAGGGACCACATGGACTGTAGTGTTAGGAACAGACCAGAGAGGTTCTAGGGTAAAGAAGAGGGAGAAAACTGAGGGTGTGGCTTAGTGGTGGAGGACTTGCCTAGCATGTGAGAAGGCCTGGGTTCGATCACCACCACTGAAAAATAAAAACAGAAGAAAGTATTGTTAAAAAATTCCAAGTAAGACTTTGGGCAAGGGTGATAGTAAGATTGTATATAGTTGGATCCTGGTACTAGTTGGAAGAAATAGCCAACAGGATTTGCTAATGAGTTAATAATACAAGAAGCTTTAGAGAGAGTCCATGACTCCAAAGTTGGGCTAAAGAGTTAGAACAGTGGAGTTGCCATTGACTGACATGTGGATGACTGAGAGAGAAGTAGCTTGTGGAAGTGTTGGGAGTGACTGTGCTCTGAATTTCATGTGCTCAGCCTGAGGGGCCTTGTGGGTCTCTGTCTGTGGTGTGACGGCCAAGAGGCCTGGGGTATATGGCTAGAGTATTGAAGAGGTTTCCAGGCAGACCTACACCTGGGAGTCCTTGACAGGCTGATGGTAAAGCCATGAGATTAGGATGGAAGTACAAAAGGAGAGAATAAATCTAAAAGAGAAGTTTTCAAGACAGAGCCTGTTAAGTCAGCAACAGAAACAAGGCACCTAACGGGTATAGAAACAAGGCAAAGAAGGAAGGGATGATCTGTTATGTCATGTCAGATACTCTTTTTTGTTGTTGTTGTTCCTTTGTCTTTTTTTTTTTCTTTGTCTTTTTGAGACAGGGTTTTGCTATGAAGAGTTCAGCCTGGCCTGGAGCTCACTTTGTAGCCAGGCTGGTCCGAACTTGCAGTGATCCTCCTGCTTCAGCCTCCCTAGTGCTGGGATTACAAGCATGTGCCACTATCCCCAGATGTGAGGATAGTTCTTTCAAGGAGCATCAAAAAGAAAGAACTAGTGTGTTGGCTGGATGGCAAATTGCACTCTCTGTTGAAGGGTTGCCTTTATTAAGAATCACTTCTTCCTTTCAGAAAGTATTTTTGTGACAGTAATCTTTTTCCCCAACCTTATTTATTTAGTGGTACCTGGAATTGAACTGAGGACCTTGTTCTTGCCAGGCAGGTGCTTAGACCACTGAGCTATCTCCCCGGCCCCCAACCTTTTATTATTGACAAGTATCAAATCACTGAAAAGTGAATACTGTATGTACTTCATCTAGTTTAACTCATTGTTAACATCTTGCCATGAGTGCTTTTTCCTTCTTAGGTATATAAATGTATAAGAAATCATCTCACTTGTCCAGACCAAAATAAAGAAGTTGAAATGCAGAGGCAGGGAAAGTGAGATTTTTAATCCAAACTCGTGCAAGACTCAGGCCTATACAGAGGCTGGCACACTCTACTTGTGATGCTATGATTTTATTCCTAACTCATAGGACTTCTTTCCCCATCTCCCAGGCCTGGGATCTGGGGTTCACAGTCTATCCCTATCAATCCACTTTATCCCACACCTGTAATTCACTCCTTTTTATCCCCTCCTCCCTCTGTATTTCTCTTAATAATTGTTTTTAGCCTGTTGGCTTCCCAGGATTTGAGAGATTTATTTGAGAGATTTATTTGAGAGTTTCTTGTATGTCCTTTTATGCTAGTTGACCAACCTAAGTCTAAGAATAAGGACTAAGTGGTTAATGAAATATGGACTGATTAAAAATGTTTTTTACCTCTTACAGTATTTTTTTGGCCACTTGAAATTGTGGACATAAAGTTTATCCTAAATACCTCATGTGTATCTTCTAAAACTAAGGACATTTTATCTTTTTTTAAAACCATTATTTAGTTTTATTCATAACCATAAACAGCTCTGCAATCCAGGTACATTTGGAGGGGAGCAAGGAATACATGGAACCCAAAGAACTGCAGTAAGAGCAGAGATGATGGGGCATTCTAGCAGGTACGGCGCAGGGTGCTCTCCTGAGCTAGAGGAATGGCCTGGTCTGATAGTGGCAATACATACAAGTCACACACATTAGAGCTGTGCACAGTTGATGATGGTGATCTTCTTGCTGGTCTTGACATTCCTGGACCCGAAGCGCTCCATGGCCTCCACCGTGTTCATGCCCTCTTTCTCCTTCCCGAAGACCACTTGTTTACCATCCAGCTGCTCGGTCTTGGCAGTGCAGATGAAAAACTGGGACCTGTTTGTGTTTGGCCCAGCATTTGCCATGGACAAGATGCCCAGGCCTGTGTGTTTCAGGATGAAGTTCTCCTCATCGAATTTCTCCCTGTAGATGGACTTACTGCAGGTGCTATTGTGGCACATGAAGTCACCACCCTGGCACATAAATCCTGGAATAATTCTGTGAAAGCAGAACCTTATAACCAAATCCTTTCTCTCCAATGCTCAGAGCACGAAAGTTTTCTGCTGTCTTTGGAACTTTGTCTGCATATAGCTCAAAAGAGACACAACCCAAGGACTTGCCATCAACACCGATATCAAAGAACATGGTGGGGTTGACCATGGTTGGCAACAAACAACTAAGAGGAAGGATAGTGGTATCTGCAAAGCCGACATTTTATCATTAGATCCAAAATATTTAATATTGATACAATAGGGGCTGGTGGGATGGCTCAGTGGTCTAAAGCACCTACTTAGAACAAGCTTCGCAAAGCGCAGGGACCGCGGTTCGATCCCCCAGCGCCACATGCCAGCCAGCCCCGCCCCCTGGTGGGCTGAGCTGGCCACACACACACATACACACACAAATAAAATTAAAAAAAATTAAAAAAAAAAAAAGAATGAATTTCAATGTTGAAGAAGTCCTGCTTGCCTAGTTTATAGGTCCTCTCCTTTTTAAAAAAGTTAAATACTT